TTTTTTTTTTTTTTTTTAAATGGTTCCAGGGATCAAACTCAAGACCTTTCGAGTAAGGCAGAGAGGAACCACTGAGCTAAATCCCCAGCCCTGGAAACCCCTTTTATATTGGACCTGTTTGTCTTGTGCTTGGTCATCTGGTTTCCTTAATTACATAGTGACAGGGACCTTAGGACCCTGCGGACAGTCCCTTTCATTCTAGGCAGCGGTGGTCCTGGAAGTCTCTGTTTTCTCTGGAGACGTGCTTATGGTGGAGCAGTACAGGATGTACATGTTGCACCCTCCACAAATGACTTTAGGTGGCTTTTCATTGCTAGATGGAAATTACTTAGGACGGGGATTGTGCTTTACAGGCCCTTTTCATCCTAGGGCATGAACATATGCACTCTATAATGTTTAGAGAATGGATTGTCATTCATTTTCTTATAAACATCAACTTAGAATTGGGGTAATTTAGTGGGAGGCGGCTGTACTTGAATTAGAAAATGTGTGAGAAGCCCTTTGTAGAGAGGATGTAGTCAACTTTTGGATTTTTTTCAATTGGTTAGAATAAAAATATTTTTGGAAATCTGGTTTCCAAATAAACTGATCATAGCAGACTATCCAGTGAGGTCAGAAGCATCCTGTATGGTTTGCTGTTTGTAGTCCCCATTCTTGCTGGCAGACCTGTGCTGGAGAATAGCACGGACTGTACACTCTTGAAGCCCTTTTCATTTAGGTATTGTCTGTAAGAGGCTAAAGGGGGATAACTAGAGCAATGCAGTCAAACTTGAGGAACCTTTAAAATAAAACAAACCCAAACCCTAGGAATTAAAGACCCTAAGGTGTCCAGAAGCACACCGAGTAACACCAGCCTCCACTGTGATGTCTTTCTAGAGTCACCTGCAGAACTTTGTGGAGTTTAAAATCGAGATCTTTGCAGTGTTGCATGGCAAACAAGCAGGCCACTGTTTGCCAACCCTGTGTAGTGTGTAGTACCTCAGCACACAGAAGCCCAGAGCCCCAAGAGCCATAGCCACTTGGCCAAGGGAACACATTGCCCTCAAGTTCCTTGATTGTAAAGACAAAACATCAAAACAAGCAGAAACTATTGATTGCTTAATCAGTTATATTTTAAAAGGCATCAGCATTCCATGTAGCAAAATTTCTAGCCAGTGGAGGTTGGGACACAGATCTCTTTCCTTCCTCAAAATCATTTCTTTCAGTGCTTCCAGGTTCCTTCTCTGGAGCTGGGTGGTGGTGTGGCTGGCCTGACCCGCTTCTCCCTCCCCTCCTGTAGCCAGCCTCACAGGTGGTCAGGGAGGTGGCACTCAAGGGAAGCTTTGCCACACAGAGCCCTCCACAGTCCCAGGTCTTTGTAAGGGCTGCTGCCATCATCCCCTTCTGCCCCACAGTATTGGTTTTATTCAGCTCATTAACAGCCCATTTGTCCTGTTTCCTGGCCAGTACTCCCTCCCACCCCCCGCATTTTTCACCTCTGCCTGTCTCCTGAAACCTGGCCATATGTCTGTCATCTGGGATGTTTCTAGAGCCCATTGCTGTCCTGCCACATCAGCCCGACGGTCATTCATTCATAATCTGTTCTCTGCATTCATTCCAGGCCCTTTACCCAACCATAGGTTCGCACAGTTGCCAGTTTAATTGTCAAATGTTGTGTTCCTGCAGGCAGTCTCTCCTTCCATCCTCAGAAACAGTTAGATATCTTGCTGTTGCTGCAGAGGAAAGTCTGAACTGAACTATTTCTGTGTGTGTATGTGTCTGTATGTTGCTGAGGATTGAACCCAGGGTCTCAGGCATGCTAGGCAAGCTCTTTACCACTGAGCTATTCCCCATCCCCGGCCAGCCTGGGCTTCTTACCTTGTCCTTCAAAGCCTGCTCTGCCACATCCTGCCATCCACTCCAGATGCATCTGCCGTCACCCCCCACCGTAGCCCATGCTGCTAGCCAGTTGCCTCATACTTCTTGGTCTCTGGGAATTGTGAGCCCCTCCCTCCTGGAGCCCTTGTCTGCCAGCCATTCTTTCAGCACACTTCTGATGTTCCCTGGCAAGTGCTGTGAAAGGCATGACTTTTTCTCCCCGTAAGAAACAGAGTGCAGGGAGGCAGGAGGGCCATTGCCCACCGACAGGAAGATTGCATATGTCCCCTGCATTCAGTGTCTTCTTGTGTAGTGCCTACTAGATCCGAAGTGTAAAAGGCAGAGAATAGGGCTTGCATGTTTTTTTTTTTTCCCCTTTTTTCTTTTTTTAATCTCCAGCGGCCAGCAAGTGCTCCACACAGGGAATTTCTTATTTTATTTAATTATTGTGGCTTTTTTTTTTTTTACTAATCCTGTATATTTCCATTTTAGCTTAGCGTGAGTTCTAACATTAAAAAATTGAGGTAAAAATCTATAAATATAAGGTCATCAGCTGAATTATCTTGTAAGTCTTAATTAGAGAAGATTATTTAAGAAAGTGATTTCTCATTAGATCAGCCCCACTCATATTCACTTTTCTGCTTTTGTCTTTAGTCTGCATGAAGAAATCAGTGATTTTTATGAATATATGTCTCCAAGGCCTGAGGAGGAGAAGATGCGGATGGAGGTGGTGAGCAGGATCGAAAGTGTGATTAAGGAGCTGTGGCCCAGCGCTGACGTGAGTCCCTGCCCCAGTGGCTGGGGCTTAGGATGAGGTCTTGTCCATGGGTATGGGATGGAGGCTGACCTGGTGGTGTCTCTTGCAGACACCTACGTGCAGGGAGTGCTGCTGTAGAGTTAGGGTCTAATTAAATCTTCTGTTTTGCTTTTGACTTTTTGAGACAAGGTCTCACTGTGTTGTGTAGGCTGGCTTCGAATTTACTATGTAGCCCAGGCTGGCTTCAGATTCACAGTGATTCTCCTGCCTCAGCCTCCAGAGTGCTGGGATCATAGGCATGTGCCATGCCCCCTAGCCTAATTAAATCTTAAAGGCAGATAATTTTCTGCAGCTTTTAGAATTTGGGGCTTGGTAATTATTTTCATTGACTCAGGTGCCTTAA